CCTGAAGATGTCGCGACGAAGTACCCGACCGAAGAAGTCACCACGGAGCCTCCAACAGCACCGTGCACTGACCAGGACACAAGCGGTATTGAGGGTGGAGAACAAAGTTCACTACTTCAACGCTGGTATCTATTCCTCAACGGTTTGAGCAAACATTTCCAACTTCCGTGAGCGAGATGACTTCAACGGCGGGTAGACGACTGGGCTAAACAACGGACAGGCGGGGAGTATTGCTGCTTACCATGCTGCCCATTGATCGGTCAGAGTCTCCAACCATTCGACAGCCACCTTTCTTTTTGACAAAAACAGAAACATGCATTCATCCATTTACGTCTTCGTCAGAAAGTAGTCTTGTCGTACTCCTCGATTTCTTAAAATTCCACCCACTCTTGTGCTAGTTGTAACTTTACGAATAACCACCCAAATATTACAACTCGACCGAGCATGTACATTTGATTTGAGCCCCTTTCGAATTAGAGCCTGCTATTGTGTAGAAAAAAATGCAGAGCTAAAAACTTTCGGACAAGTTTCTGGTACAATTACCAAATTACTTGATCCTCGCGATAGCCGCACAACTGCTCGCGATCTGAACAATAGCATTGCATATCTGTCCAAATTTGTTGTTGGTTTGGCTCTTCAAGTAACCTCGTAAAATTCACCGATCTGGACCCCTGCACGTGAGCTTGCAGCAAAAGCATACCATATAATTCATGTTGTAATAGCTGATAAACTGCAAGTATTAATGCCATCTCTCCGCAGTCGACAGCACACATCGTTGTGCATCCTTCACAATCTGAACACGACGATGAATTGTCACTGACACCAAATTGACCTTGTACTAGGTACCAGCTCCAATATCATTTATTTTTATCAAATGAACTGAAAATAAATTTTCTTATGAACATCATGTTGCCAACATACCATTCACGAGATCATTTGAGTCAAGTATCATCTGATGCTGGCGTGAGGCACACCAAGCTGAGCCAATCGACCAGCGACGAAATTCTTCACTTCGTACTTTGGTGCCACCCTGATACAGGTTCATAAGTGATTTCCGATCGAAGCCACTTCCCAAATATCCTTGACAATCCATTTGTTCGGCAGCGATATCGGATGAATGCACACGAAGAAATAACGCGGAATCGGCGTCGGTATCCTAAGCGAGGATAAAACTCAGAATGAAGTATCCACAAGCTTCGGAGAGAGCCTCAGGAATTTTTTGTTCGGGATGGCGATATTACAGATACTCTTTCGAAATTACTACCAGCACCTTCCAAAACTGAGCAAACGATAGAAGCAAATTTGTCTCGCTCGATTCCCGACGCTGTTAGCATATCAGCTCTGCAGGACGCCACTGCACCAACGTCTCCTGTGCGGCGGTGGTTCAGATGGCAAATATGAGTCAGACGCCGCCATAATTCGAGTGTCAGAGCTCAGATAAGGCAATGTGGAGCCTGTTCAAACACCGTTTGCAACGTGCTGCCTCAACGTCAACTGAGCCGAATCAACACCACCGGATGGTCTCGGTGGCATCCTCACATGACACACATGGCTGCAATGCTGCACTTTCACCGAGCGATTTCGGCGCTAATGAACGTTACTTACTGCACTTTCACCATCGTTGAAAACTGCGGCGTGAACTTTGAATCAAGCGTATTCTCTTGTTTTGAACTTTTGATCCAAAAAGTTGTCGCTGCAATTCAATTTTTTTTGATTTTTTTTTTCACAGTCAGCATTCACCACCGAAGAGCTCCGCTACTGGCGTCAGTGCCACAGTGACGAGGTCGACTTGGCATGTCTCGAGCATCTCGAGCTTTGACGTATCCACAGTACAGGACGCCAAATATTCGACGCTGACATTCGAAAGACATCAATGGCCGATTCGGCCAACGATAAGGGTGAGATCTTTGATCTATCACTTCACCGACACGATGCTTGAAGGACATGTCCGCTGTGGCGAGTGGGACTCGGAAATGCCCCCTCGCAAGTCGTAGCTAACGCAGTGAAATCCCTGCAGAAACTTCCAGTGTAGCATGCGCCAACGCCGGACACTCGTATAGACTGGACTTCGCACCTACACTGCCCTTCCACAAGGTGAAGCTGCTGGCTGCCCGGCGCATCATTTTTCTCGACGCTTTTCCACGAAACGCTTCACCAAAGTACCGAGTAAAAGTGGCTTGAAAGCAGCGCACCGAGCTTTGCGCTTCAAGAGGCAGGAAACACTCAGCCGCACATTGGAAAGCACCGAGATGAAGTGTGAGCTTTGCCGGCATCAATCCGAATCAAATCCTATCACCAGACAGCAACACTTTTTCAAACAGAGAAAAAAACGCCTCGATACACTAAAAACTCAAAAAACATTCCCCCACAGCATACAAACACCAAGTCCTTTACATAAAAAACAAACATATAAACTTGGACAGACGAGGCGCAGCGCCATAGAGTCGGTCCAGCGGTCGGCGTGCAAACGACAGGCAGCTGGTCCCAAAAGTGCAAGATCAGCATCAGCCTCAGCCCTCCATCAAAACCGGCACCTATGCCTGCTCATTCTCCGATTCGCCACCTTCCTCCGCTATGGCTCTCAAGACGCTTTTCCTGCTCGCCATTGGCGCCTCCAGCGCGCTGGCCCAGAGCGACGACAGCGGCAGCCTCACCATGGCCGTGGGCACGAACGGCACGACCGTTCAGGCCTCGAGCGGCACCACCGAGTTCATGGGAACCGAGTACAATCCGGACAAGTGCGTGTTGCAGTTTTTGAGTCTCGAGTGCGACGACAACTGCGCCGAACTCAACGGCTACGAGCTCGAGTGCGTGTCGCAGGGCAAGCAGAATGGCAAGGAGAAGAAATTGTGCCAGTGCAAGTCGGAAGACCAAAACTCGTGCCAAAACTCGGCCAACCCGAACGCCACGTCAGGCACGGTGGCCCAGTTTGGCGAGTGTAGCGACCAAAATCAGTGCGTGGACTCGTATGGCTACATTGCCACGTCTAAGGAAGAAGGCCCCATCTGTGCCGAGAAGCTCCACTGCGTCCAGGAGATCAACACGACGGCGACGGAGCCTGCCTCCATCTGCCACACGTGCATGTCGTGCATCGCCCAGAACGACGCGGCTGACAAGCAGCTGGCCGGTGTGAAGCGCTTCAACTGCTCGTCCATTTGCCCCCAGGAGATCCTCGACACTGTTGCCGAGCGCAACGCCGCCGGCGTGGGCATTGCCGACTCGTACTCGCTCACGGCCTCGTCTGCTGGTTCGGACGAGTCGAACTCAAGCACCTCGTCGTCCTCAGCCAGCGGCAGTGCTGCAGGTTCCAGCAGCGCCGCGTCGATCCCCCAGACCAACCTTGCTGCCATCCTCTCGGCCATCATTGGCGTGGCCCTCTTGGGTGCTATGAACTAGGTTGACAGAGATGAAAAATTACCATCACCCTGGTATTAATGTTATCAACCAACGCTTTTCGTTACTAAAAATGCTTTTTTTTTTTCATTGCAACAAATTATGAGAGAACTGTCAAAAGTTGGTACTGACAAAAACAAAGGTGAGACACTACGAGACGTGGAGAGAGTTCAAGCGACTGGTGATGTCGTTGAACACGTAACGTGTACATCGGTCCTTGACGCGGTCGCACTCTGAAGCTTGAAGGCCAATACGTCGCGTTACAGCTCGTCGAGCCTCCTCAGCATCAGACGTCTCCGGCGTGGGCGTCGAGTTCTTGGCTTTCGACAACGGACAGTATCCCTTGATGGACGTGTGGCGAACAGACATCATACCAGTGCCCGGCTCGCGACGAATGATCATCGCTCCACACACGTTTCGGCGAATGGTCTTACGGCCTGGAGAGTCCACAGGCATCGGGTGCAACGAGTCGTCGTCCACGTAGTCCCATAATATCATGCCTCCGTCAGCGCTACGCTGTTCTCGAGTGATGACACGAGCCTCCACCTTGATCTCGTCCGTTTGGCGAGATTCGTCCACAATTTCCAAAATGGGCTCCATGGATGATGCCAGATCTGTGTAGAAAATACGCGATTTGGTCACTCTGTCTTCGTTTTGGTACACTTCGTCCACCGATCGAGATTGGTATGCCACACCAGGGTAGTACACGCCAATCGACCGCATACTAGTGAAAACCAGATCCATCAGCATGTCAAGCGTACACTGAGGCGTCTCTTTGAACAAAAAGACCGAAGTGAACTCCTTGATCACACGTCCATCCCCCGCATCGTCCGTTTGGCAACAATCAGGCGTGTTGGTCGTGGTGTTAAACAGCTCCCGCATCAATCCGTCGTCGAATTCCTGGGCGTCGCGTGTCCCGTCGTGCAACAATTTCACATTACCCGAGTACACTTCTCCAACCGCCAACATTCTCTGGGTCTCGTCCTCTGTGTTCTTTAGCACCAGATTATTTGCCAGTTCCATCTTGCTCTTTGGGAAGTGCGCCACATACTCCTTCCTTCTGGCCAGAGCATCTCTCGACGCTAGGGCGGTGTACGAGTGCACCCAATCGTGGAACTCGAGCGTCTTGGAGCAAGGTAGACCTCCTCCCCCCATTAAGGCCCTCATGCCTCCCAGGAAGGCTGTCTGCTGGAACAAAGCCTGCTTTAGCACCTGGTTCTTCTGCTCGGCCTGCTTCCTCTTGCGTCGTTGCGTCATGGCTTCTTCCTCGTACGCCACGAGCTGGTCGTTGTTAGCCATTTGAGCTCTTCTCTCGGCTCTCAGACTTGATAATTGCTCTGTGAGTCTAACCATCTCGGCCTGTAGCGACGACACGAGGCATTTCTTCTTCTCTCTGTGTCTCTGAACGCTGGAAGCGATCTGGGAGCGGCGTCTCTGCTTCTTCTGCTCCTCCAGAGTCAGTGGCTCCTTTTTCAGACCTGCATCAGCGACCTTCCTGCCTCTACTTCGTCCTTTTGAGAGCTTCTTGGGACCTTCGCTCGCTGCAACGGGTCGTGGAGCAACCGGAACTGCCTCTGGAACGCTATTGGCGCTACTAGAGCTGCTGTAACCTGCTGGAAGGGCGCCAGAGAACGGGGACGACGGCGAGGCCTCGCTCTGGCGGAATAGGACATTCTGGGCCGAGTTTAGCGTCGCCTGGGGCGAATGGTGGCTCAAATTGACGACCGAGGGCGGCGGAAGTGCACTCAGTGCATCGTCGATCAAAAGGTCGCTCAGAATTTCCCAATCTTGGTCGAAATTGGACGGAGGGAGGTCGGAAGACACATCGTCGGATGCGGGTGAAGATGCGCCTTCGCTGCTGCTATAGGCTGACGGGGAGTTCCAAACGTGGGCGGATGGAGGAGGAGACGCGTACGAATACGGTGAGGGTTTGTATGCAGGCGGGGAGGCCGCAGAGGCGCCGGCGTCGGGCACCGCGAACAAGCTCTCCATGGGCGAGGCCTTTGGGATAATGGAGCCGGATTGGTGAAGGTCTGTGGGAGATGAGACACATGGTGCCGTTGAACCTGTGAGACGTGATGGAAAAATCGGTCGATTTTGATGAATTCGCATTTTCAAGAGTACTATATTTTTGTGCTGAAGTGCATTTGAAGGGAAAATATCGCTCTAGAAAGTGATAGTCTTCGTTGATTGATTTATCAGTGGATAACCATTAAATAAATTTATGCAGGCTCTAACGATTGAAGAGAATTCGGTGTGACGGTCGTTGATTGGTTACAATCATTTTACGAGTTAGAGCCAATCGGCGGCTGGTCTCCGTGGACAACCGATTGGGACTGCAGTTAACTGACGTCTGCTCCAAGATCGACTTGTCGGTGCCAGTGACGCCCCAGCAGTGCACACGACAGCGTAACATACGCAGTGGCGTTCGTTGCCGTCCTTATCCCCACGACCAGCCATCGACAACTTGTGGCACTGCCAAGGAAACAAACCGTCAGCCCGCAAGAAATATCCACTGTCCGAAGCTTTTGAAAATGGTCACTAACAGATTATGGGACGGCGTGTTGTTGCTATGGCGATGAGTGAGTCACTCATATTGGTGATCACGTGCGACTGAATTCTGCGTACCGTGTAGATTACTCGACGCACGGATAGAATCAGCACTTGGCGGCACATCGAGTAATCTGGAAGTTGGTTATATAGAGGCAATCGCCGGGGCTGTTGGGATATCTGTCGTCCGTCTCATGCCTTCCTCGTTCGTTATTCGACGCTCTCACTCGATAAATTGCCATCTCAAGTTAACCATTTTACAAGAATCCAGCAGCCAAACCATGAGATTTCAGCACCAAGTTTCAATACTGGGAATACTGTGGATGGCAGCAGTGACGCTCGCCAAGACCCAGGAGAACTCAACAGCAGGTAGAACGTTCCCTACCAAGTCAGGCATTGGAGTCTGGGTCGATCCCGCCACACCGAGCGACCGACATACGTACACGAGCTCACGCGGTCGAAAATGGGATCTCGTCATGAGTGACGAGTTCAACGTCGTGAACCGCAGTTTCCGACCCGGAGACGACCACATCTGGACGTCACTTGAGAAACCGGACGGTGTGAATGGAGCTTTGGAGCTCTATTCGCACAATATGACTTCTACCCGATGTGACGACGACGGCACGTGCTACTTTTACATTAAATCGGTGGACGAAGTGAACGTTATCCACGTCTACAACATGTACACGCACCCGCCTGGGTTTACACATGTCAATTTCTTTTACAGATCGGCGATGGTGCAATCGTGGAACAAATTCTGCTATCAAGGAGGAATGCTAGAGGTGCGTGCGCAGCTCCCCGGGGCCGTGTCGAAGGCTTCTGGCAATCCAGATCTAGCACTGGGTAAATCTGGAAAAGTTGCCACTGCACAGTACTACCCGACATGGCCTGGCATTTGGATGATGGGGAACCTCGGCCGCTCCATTTTCTCGGCCTCGACCAACCGGATGTGGCCGTTTTCCTACAATAAATGCGACCCCAACGTGTTCAACTCGAGCAACCAGCGCATCAGCGCTTGCGACGCTAATCCCGGCTACGGTCTGAACCCGAATCAAGGTCGTGGTGCACCGGAGATCGACGTATTGGAAGGCGGCGGGCTGGCTGTATCGTCGTCGCTTCAAATCGCTCCGGGCATGCCGGACGACTACCGAATGTTTTCACCAGACCCATCGACTGGAGACTATGGAGGCTGCTTCTACGGCTATGCTTGCTCGACTCGCGGAGCGAACAACATCGACGTCCCGACCGCGTATTACCAGCGACAACGAGGCCACCGGTCGTGGTATCAGGGCCTCCAGTATGCGTCCAACAACGAGTGTACACGGAACGCCAGCTTGCAACAGAGTTACAACATCATTGCTGCGTCTATAAAGGCTGGTGTGGAGGAGAACTCTTGCTCGCTAACAACGTGTCCCGCTTCCTATGATGTTCACTCTGATCTGCGACTGATCGACGATCAAGGGGAACTTCACTGGGGCATCAACTACAACGGTACCTGCTTCCCAGTCATCAACTCATACACTGGAGCCTATCTGTGCGACCCCGACAACACCAATTCGAAGTGTACGAGTCCTCGCAATGCGTCCACACCCAAATCTGGAGCCATGAGTTCGTTTGACTACCAGATGGACGCCATCTCGTCCAATTGGCCTCTGCACGTCGGAGCGTACTTGGACTATGTCGTCTACCAGGTAGAATGGGTCACAGGTGAGAACGGCTACGTCCGCTGGATGCTGCACGGTAGTCCGCTCTTTGAAATCGCGGCGTCCTCTATCACTGATGTACCGCAGAATTCCAAGAAATCTAACCCACAGAAGACGATGCTGGAGGAACCCATGTACGTTATCTTCAACGTGGCTCTCTCCGCTACGTGGGGAGCGAAGCCTCCGAACCCCGGTAGCGAATGTCGCGGTGACGGTGCCGATCCAGTGGTGAACAGGATTTGCGACTCCTTCCCCATGTTCTTGAAAGTTGACTACATTCGGTTGTATCAAGATCTAGGCAACGATCTGGACGCAGACAACTATATGCAGGTTGGTTGCGATCCTAAGAGCCACCCAACGAAGGAGTGGATCGAAGGACACTTGGACGAGTACGAGGACAACGACAACAAATGGGAACAAGTAGCTGGCAAGGCTTTCTGCAACTCGAGCGATGATTGCACGATTGGAGGCAGAGTGGGGAAATCTGCACTGAAAACGGGCAAGTGTCAGAAGGCGCGCTGTGTATGTACACATCCGTCGTCGTGGGGCGGGCCGCGGTGCACGACTGCAGTATCTAGTTCGTCTGGGGGGTCTTACTTTACAAGGAACTCGTACGGCCCTCCGATTGGACTGTCGATCGTGTTGGCTACCATAGTTGTGCTGTTATCAGCTGCCTCGACGTACGCTGCGGTGGTGAGAGAAAAGAAGAGAATAGCAGAGACGAAAAACCAGGTCAAGACTGCAGCGGAATTACTGTCCAATGACAGTGACAATGTTCAACGAATTAAGCTTCAGGAGCGCTCTCGCACCAGTAACGAACTCCAGCCCAAAGACAACTACAGCCAGAATTTCGTTTAACTGTAGATTGAAAGGCTACCAAGACCTCAGATGCAACCTGGGGATCCCATCACGGGTAGTTGTACAGTAAGGCTTTGCCCAATGATCGCTTAAAACTTAACGCTACAACAATACATGTAACAGAAAAAATGTGCATTGGTTGAATGTATTTGGCTGCAACAGCGAAAACTGCATACATACCCACTCTACCCACTCAGCTGTGCAAGCAGCGTGTGCCGCGACTTATCGGCCCATGTTACCCGCTTGCCAGTTCTGCTGATTTGTTAACCTGTTCGAAGTCGAGGTCGTTAACTCGCACCGTGAGGATGAAGAAGTCTGTTCGAAACTAAAGGCTTTACAGACGACCTCGTTGTAGCACGCGACGCAGCATGAATGCCAGGATTGGTCATTCCGTTGACCTGTCGTAGTCTTGTAGATGCCTCCATTGGCGTAGTGCACCTTGTTCTCCACTCCGATGCCGTTAGTGCCTTGGTTATCACAAGGCGTGGGCGGAGGAACCGTAGTTGGTGGCTGTGTAGTCGGAGGCTGTGTAGTTGGAGGCTGTGTAGTAGGAGGCTGTGTAGTGGGGCCGTCAGTAGGTCCGTCAGTAGGTCCATC